GCTCTTACGAATTTGCCTCAAATTTCAGTGTCTCGAAATGGTAACCCTTGAAACGACCTAATTACTGTTTTCCTCCGGGCAGGATACCTGGCCCTGATCACTCACGCATTCTTTTTCCAAGTACCATTGCAGAAAGTCAATATACTTCTGGGGAAAAGTCATCATAATAAAAATTATTGAACTGATGAAATGCTCCCTAGGTGCCAAGTGATTTACAAACGTTAATGAATCAGCGTTCAAGAGTAGGTTCCCACGCAGTACAGCGTCCCCTGGGGGGACAAGCCCCAGTGGGTGAGGACCTCAGCCCGGACTGCCTGCCACCTGCGGGCTGCACCTCTGAGCCCCGGGACCGCGTTCTCCCCCAGCAGCACCTCGTTCCTGCGCTCAGAGAAGCTTCGACCACACCGCCCCGGCCTCACCGCGGACGGGAAGTGTCCGCTAAGGTATAAATTACCAGGTTGAAGTAAATGTCTTTGGAGACAGGAGACTGTTTCAGCATTTCTGCTGTTTTCTCGAAAAGGACCACTTCCCACGTTACTCTTTATTTCGAGACTGTATTATTCCGCCCAGAGCTGGAGGTTGGTTTGGTTATTATTTCAGTCGGGCTTATAAAAGGAAACCGCTTATTTTCCCAAGGACGCGAAGGAAAAGCAAATTGTCCCACCAGTTGGCCGAATAAATCAGTTTAGAACGCGAACCGTGGGTTTCGGCATCGTTTTCTCTGCCCAGGACTGTGCCCAGCGGTGGCAAGAACGGGAATATTAAAAATAACAGGGGAGACAAATTGGCTTTTGTATGAAAATGATGTTGCTATAAAGACATAGAAAAAAGCCCAATGGCTCCTCTGTATAATTTCATGAAAGAAAACCCATTTAATGTAAGAAGTAGAAGCAAATGACCTCCAAATTTTAAGATAATAAAAGAGGCAGGACTTTGATGTCTGTGTCTCATTGTTAGCTCCGCGACAGCGATGGCTTGCGGGTCGCACGGATGCACGTCCGCAGCGAGCCCGCAAATCTGACACGGCTGTTCACACGGTCACACGGCGCAGCAGGTCTGGACGAACTACTCGGGACGGACAGTCAAACTCATTAATTCGGTGGTGATGAGATTAAAAGGTGTAAAAGAACGAGACGGCAGTGGCGTTCAGACTTTGGACTTTCTCGGAAGATGAGTTTTAACTAATAAGAGCTCCCGCCGAGGTACAGCTAACCGCCGGAATCAGTCTCCTGCTTCCGAAACCGCGGAATCGATGTAGGTAAAGAAGCCGACGCTGCCAAGCCAGAGCGTTTGAAAGCCGAGCTCAGAGAGCGCGCCAGTACTCACGCTCCCTCCGTTTCGTCAGAGTGGACACTGTGCCCCAAGCAGGAGGGAGTCGCCACCTCCCACACAGCTGGTCGCTTACTTACGACCGCAGTCTCACCGCTCGGGCTGAATGTTCTCGTGTTTCCCACGGACCCACGGGAACTTGGTCACGGGGAGCCCGTCACGAGCGGTTCTCCGTGGGGAGCGGAGATGGGTCAGAACCTCGGAGAGTTCCTTGTTCTGGAAGCAGCCCCTCTGTTCACCTGTGGTTCCGGCATCATCACGTCCACTGCGGGGCCGGGTGTGTGGCTGAGCAGCTCTGGGGTGTGTCAGCGAGCGTGTTGGCGGAGGTGAGCGTCCCCCTGGGGGCTGAGAGGCCATCACACGGCCCAGGGCAGGTGGGCCTCCTCCGGCCCCCCGAAGGCTCAGTAGAAAAGCTGCCAAAGGGAGAACCCCTTCTCTCAGCCGATGGGAAGAGGAGTCCACGCTGGCCGTCCTGGGCCCCGAGCCCAGGAGCTTTGCACGGGCTCTCCTGGGTCTGGACGCTTAGCCGGCGTGACCGCAGAGTTGTGCATCCATTCCTTGTCGTCTCTCTCTTGCATTATATACAGGATTCTAGAAAAACCTGTCGCGTCCAGGGTATACAGTCGTCCCTCGCCACTTCGCGCTTTGACTTTGGGGCTTCATTCTATCGCGGTTTTGTCAACTACTACACGGTATTCGGGAAAACCACAATAGAGTGAAGCCGCAGACGTCGAGGTGCGAGGTGGCGGGGGACGATTGTACAAAGAACCCCACTTCGCGGGAGTTTATTTGTCACGGTCGAGTCTGGAACGGATCCTCCGCGACCAAGGAGGGCCGACTGTAGTTCCACCCAAAGGAAGTGGTGATTACGGCGCATGACGATGCACAGAACCCCACCTCCCGAGACGGGGCGCAGACCGGTGACCTGAGGCTCGCGAGCAGGGGGTTTCTTTGCGGGAGGCGCTGGCGATGTCATGGTGACTGGCGTCCAGACAAGTTCAGGTGGCCTCTCGCGGCCTGCCCTTGCCGCCGGCCGTGCGGGGAGCCACCTCCCGGCACGCAGAGCGGGGACGCCGGCCTGGAAGGTCACCCGTGTGAGCAGGACGAGGGGAGGGGTGTGCGGCTGACTGACGTGGCCGCCGTTGGGCAGCCTGGAGCTCTCGTGAGGGGCCTGCTCCCCCCAGGGGCCACCTCGCCCCTTCCCTTCCGGCGGGTTGAGGTGGGCTTGTTCCCCTCCCCTATAAGACGTGGGGAAGACTTACGTGTCCACAGCACTTGGTGGCAGCAGCAGCCTTGGTCGATGGAGGGGTCCCTAGAAATACTTCCTAAATGCAGGCGTCTGCCCGGGACGTTGTCCAGCGTGGGCAGGTGGACCCACACCAGCTCCATTTTTACTGACCGTGGGTCGAGAGTCGCTCAACGACTCATGTTCCTCAAAGCCCTTTGGATTTTGACAGAAACACGCGGACTGTTTTTATTGTCTGCGGGACACTTAAGGAAGTGCTGTCTCCCTTGCATGGTTGGTCGGCGGCAGTGGGTGAGAGAGGCTCTGTCGTCACCACGGTCGATGTGCATGAGGCTGGATACCCGCGTACAGTGCGACCTTGCGCCCTCACGGTCCGGCATGGGGACGCCAACGGATGTCCGAGGGCTCCCTGACTGGGATGCGCCTCAGCTGGGTGACAGCGTGCACACTCTCTGCGATTCATGCCGAACTGTGCTTAGAAACGTCGTGTGGACTAATGAGAGCATGAATAATAAGCTACACATCGAGTAGGACAGTCTAATACCCAGCAGTCATGAATTAAAGGCCCCTGCAGACACGTAAGAGCTACGGATAACAACTGGCCTAGCTGCTGGACGTCTACGCACAATGACCATGTGTCTAATTCTCCTGTGCAGTGGAAACGAAAATCTCGTGGGTGATTAAACCCTTGCTCTCTTGTGTGGGGAGGACAGAAACTGTGTCTCTCCCTAGGAGAGGAAACAGTAAGTCCATGAGCTTGGCCAGTGTGGCTCAGTGGATGGAGCAATGTCCCATGGACTGAGAGGTCTCGGTTCGATTCCCGGTCGGGGCACATGCCGGGGTTGAAGGCTCGATCCCCAGTAGGGGGCGTGCAGGAGGCAGCTGCTGCTGCTGCTCTCTCACATCCATGTTTCTATCTCTCTCTCCCTTCCTCTCTCTCTAAAAAATAATAAATAAAAATGTATTTAAAAAAAACCACGAGCCATCGCTGGAACCTCGGATCCATGACTTCGTGGACAGAGCTGTTCACTGTCCACGTGACTGTGCCCATGGCACTGGGTGCTTGTTACGTGCTCCGTGGCAGCCCAGTGGGGGTCACTGTGTGTGCGGAAGAAGGCTCATCAGTCTGCCTTGTGCGTGTGACCACTGTTCAGGCGATGAACCGTCCCCACCCTGAACGTCACTGTCGCCCTGCCGTTGACCACATCGGGCATTAAGAACAGCCCTGAAACCCTTTCCCCATAAAAGTGACAAAATGAGACGGTTGTGAGGAGTTTGAATATTTTCAACATAATGAAGAGGTTGCACCATGTCACGAAGGCAACACTGCTGGGACCGTGTCTCATCCCTGGCTCCCCGGGTGTCACAGCTGCTGGGCTGAGATCCAGGGCAGCCCGAGGGCAGGACTGTCCTGCACCCTGTCCGTCCGTGAAGGACAGACGTCTGCACAGATGGCCCGGCCCACTTGGACCCTTTCCTTCTCCAACTGTGCGGCCCCGAGGACTGCACCCGGCTCGAACTAGGTTCATCCCAGCAACGAGTGAACCCACAAACTCTTGAAGCATCTGACAGTGCGGGGACTATTTTTATGGCTGGAGAGAAAATTGGCAAAGGAATAGTTGGACCAAAATGTTGAAAACCTGGTGAAATATGCCGTTCCCATATTTATGTATTGTACAAAACTAAGGCCACGCATATTGCCAACAACTTATAGTAATTACCTGAGATTGGGCCACGCAACATTTTCCTTAGCGGAGTACAGACTGTTTGAAGGGCTCCGTGTTGCTCTGAGGACTGCTCACTGTAACCAGTTGCTGGATTACTTCGGGGGGGGGGGGGCGATTCCCCTGTTCTTTTTCTTTGCCACAAAGCGCTTTCCCACCCCGATTAATCCTGAACCTCCTCGAAGCTGTGTTGAGAAGACCGAGCACAGGGACATGTCATCGGGCACAAATATTCCTTGTCCTACTTGATTCGGAGACAGAAGCACATCACCTCTGGAATGCTTCCGTTTCAAAAACACCCCACTGGAAGCACATACTTTAACCTCATTTCGAAGGAGGGTGAAAATGTTAATACTGATGTCAATTGCCTGGAGTATGTAAAAAGATCCGTTTAGCTGTGATAGCTGTGATCTATTCCATATTTATTGTCGTCTTCAGGGGACTTATTTACACTCTGCATATGGTCCCTGAAAAGCCACAGCAGTTAAAACGCCACAGATGAATGTGTGCAATCATGTGCAACTTTAAAATTCAAAAGGGTTTAAAGTGGTTTTATTACTGTACCATAGATATTTACAAGATCTTAATAATATACATTTTTTCTTTCCAAACAAGTCTGTATTAAGAATGTATCTGAGGATGGGGCGGGAGAGCTTATTTACAGAATGATTTGCTTTCAAAACCCTTGTAAGATTTATGGGTTATTCATCATACAAGTGGCTGAATAGCAAAACGGTACAAAATCAGGACGGCAACGGACAGACACCGGAGGCCGGGTTCTGCGACATCTGGAGCGCCTCTGGAGCTCAAACCTGAAAAACAGAAAAAGAAAACATAACATCCTGAGGAAAAATAAAATCGCTTGCTAGAGGAACTCTTCCTGACCCACATGCATTCGATCATCTCCCTCCTGATACTGTATTTTAGAACAAACACTCGTCTCTTTACACGATGTTTCATTTTCGGAAGAGCTCTACCCTCTGTTCCAAGATGCGTGTTTTCAATGCAACAATGAACAAATCAAAATGCCCCAATTGCCCACGGTTGACTGCAGAGCGGATGAGGATGACTGGCCACCATGTGGCGGCTGATCACGTCCATCAGACAACACTGCAGGCGGATCAGTGAATGGTTCTTCTCAAGCAGAAACAATCGAGCTCGACCTGCCGGACTGGTGAGGACACTGTGCTGTGACCAGTGCGGTCTGGATGCTGCAATGGGCTAGTTCTGTCTGCCGTGGGTGTGGGAGCAGGTGTAGGTCTCCGTGCTCCGCATCCGCTCTCCCGCTCCGACGTCTGTGAATATCCATGGAAACACTCTGCAATGGTTTGTCCAAGAGGATGAATCGTGCACAGTGACACACAGTTGTTTTGGTGTTTTTTGTTTTTTTTGAGATTCAAAGGAGGAAGCATAAAGCTGTTTGTGTTATGCAAACATGTTGCAAATTTGAGGGGTTACTGAAAGGAACATGGACTCATCGCCTCTGGCTTACAATTCGAAGTGGAAACGCAGACCTTTTATTTTTTTTCCTCCCAACCTTCAAACCAGAACTGGCATGATTCACGGAGCCCAGATTGCAGGGCGCCGCTGGCTGGGATCCACCCCGACAGCAGCGCTCGTGACTCAACTTACTCGACATTTTTGGAATCCTGATCTCCTCGCTGCTGCTCCCGTCCCCGCCGTCGCTCACGGTCCGGATCTCGATCAGGTAGCCCTCTTCGAACGGGACCAGCAGCTCCGCCGACGTGTCGTTGGTCTCCAAGACGTGCGTTTCACTCTGTCTGTTTTGCCGATACAGAATCTGAACCAAAGGGTGAATCGAGTTAAAAGGACATGTCCCTTTTCTAACGTCCAGACACTCTTATTTTTTAAAAAAATGTTTTTATTGATTCTTTACAGAGAGGGAGAGAGAGAGAGAGAGGGAGACATCGATGTGAGAGAGTAACATCCATCAGCTGCCTCCTGCCTGCCCCTCACTGGGGATCGAGCCTGCAGCCTGGGCACGCGCCCTGCCCCTAACAAAACAGGAACCCCTCAGTCCACGGGACGATGCTCAGTCCACTGAGCCACACTGGCCGGGCCCGGACACTCTTAGGGAACACAAGAGATGCATCATTATAAATGCCATACTCTTTGGATGGAAGTGCCTAGTCCGAGCCTTTTTTGAAAATGTAGTGTTAAGAAAAAGATTTGCCTTTTTTGGCCAATGCTTCTGAAATGAGAATAGATTGATCTCTATTAATTAAATAGCCTGAGGCTATTATCTTTGAAGCTTGCTGAGGTTTGTGGGGGCCCATTTCGGATTTCTGAGTACATGTGTTTGCCAGATGATGCCCATTAGCACCGATGGACATGATGTGTTCTGGGTATTCGACGGCACCCTGTTTAATTCCTTTTACGTTTGGTAAAGCATCACATCCCACGGCAGCCTAACTTGCGGAAATTCTACTGGAATAACGTTCTCTGACTATATTCCTCACTCTCATCACACTTACTCCCCACATAAACCCTCGTCTTTTGATGGCGAGGAGAATCCCTCGAAGAAGAATTCTTGCAAACTACAGTTTTATTCCTTCATGCTCCGTGACACATGATGGACCTCAGGACATAAAACGTCTCAGCAAAGAAGTTAAAAACAGCCACACTACGTGTTCTCGACACGCATTTGAGAAAGACCCCCCATCTCCAAAGACATGCAACGCGTTTCACACTTGATCGGGACATTCCTGGTGCTTTGGCAACTCAGTGGACGTGATGAACGGAAGAACTAAACAGTCACCTTGTAGCCCAGCACCTCGGACTCGTTTTCCGTGGTTCTCACGTGCTCCCAGTTCAGACACAACTTAGAGTTCGTCAGTTTCCAGGCAATGTTGGCGGGGGGTTGGCTTGGAGCTGCAAAAAGATAATCACAGATCTTAATGAATATTCCTTAGCTCATGGCCACTCTACAACCCGTCACCCCGACAGGGACAGGGGCTCCGGGGTGACCCGCAGGGCAGCAGCTAACGCGCTGTCAGTGTCGTGAAGGAACGTATTAATTCTAATTAGAGTAAGCCGAGTCATTCACACTCGTCGTCTGGGAAGGTCTGCGACAAACTTATGAATTAATAATGGCTCGCCGCGCGGCCAGTATTCAGTTATTAGCATTGTTGTTGGGTTTGTTTCCTCTGCCGACGCAAAGCGGCAGCCGCGGCGTTATCTGCGGCTCCCCGTGGCTGCCGGGCTGTGCGCCTGTCCCGCGGACCCAGGCTGCAGACCTGCGACGCATCTCGACACGGGGGTTCGTTGCTAGTTGTGTTTACCCTTTAATCTTGTATCAGGACCCTCTGTGACCCAAACAAGCCAAGAGATGTTAAGCAAAAATTAGTAGTAAGTTGTGAGGGGTGCGGGGGAAGCTCTTAGACCTCACGGCGGGGTGCAGCAGCCTCAGGAGGGGCAAAGGGCATGTCAGAAGGCTGGCAGTGCCAGTTCCCCGCCCGTGGACCACCTCTGCATTCCCAGGGTCCACGGTGGAGACCCCACCACCCGCCACGCCTGAGGTTCGAGGCCTCGTCTGTTCAGAGACGGTCCAGGCTGCCGTTCTCAGGACAGAGCTGATGGCCGGCTTCATCTGGCTGCGAGTCTCCCTGAGCCCAGCCGACTGGGGCTGGGTGGGCGGCATTTAACACAAGTAGAGCTGCTGGGGCCCCAGGGAAAGGAACATCATGACAAAGGGGTGATCGCCCCCAGCGGAGTCTACTCCAAGTCCACCCGGTGGCTTTTCGTCCCCTGACATGACCGCCGTCTGGGAGAAAGGGTAAGAAAGGGAAGAGGGGTTGGGGGTCGGCCTGCTGCAGCCGCGGGTCTGGCCCCCAGGAAAGCTTCAGCCCAAGTCGGACGCCGCTCCTCCGACCGTGCGCGGCGGCCGGGAGCTGGACACACAGGGTCCTCACGCCCGACTCCCGATCTCACGTTCTCCACGGCAACAGGCCGCTTCTCAAAGATTCGAGTCCACACGGTTGTCCTTAAACTCACACAACTGGAGACACCGCAAGAGATTCCGCTGGCGAGGAGCCGAACAGAACCACCCAGCAGGTGTCGCGGCGCCGGGCCTGCGTCGCGAGGCTGAGAGCACGTGCTGGCTAACTCACCACGACGGGTGGGGACGGACAGGGCCTCTTCTGGGGTTTGGACTCAATCGCTGCTTAACCTCGTCGGTGTCCCCGGAGGAGGACAGGTGTCCCACATCGTGTTATGTGCTCCCTGGCACCCCCAAACCCGCCGGGACCTCGCTGTGCTCACCCAGCCGCTCACACGTCAGCTGGGACCTCGGAGAGAGCTCGGTCCTGTTTTATTAGGGACCCGTCCCCTGGAGTGTGGCTGTGCGGGCTGCTGTGTGTGGGTCCTTGTCTTGAGAGCATGCACGTGTCTTGTTCAAGTCTGCACGGCCAACCCCCCAGCACGGCACGTGGGACGCAGGGAGATGCGGAGGGAGGTCGTACACGCCGAAGACAGGCCGTGCCGTCAGGGTGAGGGTGCTGCTCGGGTGCTGGGCGACTTCCTGTCACGTGGCCCTGGTCTGGGCTGCGGGGGATCCGCAGCGACACGGTGAGGCCAGTCTGCTCACGCGGCCCCGTCATGAGGCTCTGCCACCGCCAGGCCCACAGCGTCGCAGGGACTCACAGGAAGGACGGCCGCTGGACGGCCCCTCGTGCGTTCCTGGGCAAAGTGGCCCGGTCGCCACTGAGGGCGGAGGGTTCTGCGGTGGCCGCCTCCGTGCGTGCTGGTCAGCGCCCTGCTTCTGAGGGACGCGGTCACAGCGGAGACTCTCCGGTCACGGCCCCTCCACTCACCCCGTGTGCTTCTCTCGCCGCCGCCTCTCGGCCGCAGGGGAGACGATGACACAAGACTTCCCGTGGCATCGCCGTGTTCCGCCCGGGTGCTCGGCGACGCCTTGCATTTCTCCCCGCCCTTCTAAACCAGCGCCGACATGGGCCACGTCACACGCTCCCTGCAGAGAGGAGTCAGATTCCCTCCCTTGCCGTCCCGGGTGGTGAGGGATCCGGCCGGGTTCGCCCACCACCGCTGTCTGTCTGGTGTGTTCGTCTGCCGGGGAAACGTTCTCAACACTGTGAACCTGCTGGCGCAGCCCCGGCTCGAATGGAAGTGACTTCCCCCCAGCTCCGTGGCCCTGGCGTGGCTGTGCCCGTGGCCGTGGCCGTGACCCTGGGGGCCCGCTCACAGTGAGCGGGTGGCGCCAAGGAAGGCTCTCGGGGGGGGCCAGTCGGGGTCCCCAGGAACGCGTGACCCCGGCTGTCTGGGAGGGCGAGGGAGCCGGGCTTTGCCGTCAGCCTCGAGTCTCTGTCCAGTCTCTTCCGAGGGCCCGATTCCCATGTCTGGGGTGAGACTAAAGTCTCCGAGTTTATAAATGTTGTCGCTCATGGGAGATAGAAACGGACCGGCCGCACCCGGTCTGGCGCGCATCACCGCTCGGTCTCCGAGTCCTCTTCCCCGACAGGCAGTCGTCCGCCGGCTGTCCCGGCGTAATCAGCTTTCAATTGCGCGCAGAGGGGATTGTTCCCACTCATTCATCCCCAAGTTTGCAAATGATCCTTAAATATAATGAGGGTGCAGTCGAGACCCCCTTCCTGTCAGCGCACCTGCTTCCAGAAGGCCGGCCACGTGGTCGCCTTCCACGGCCCGACGCCCTTCTCACTCTGTCCGTCGGCGTGACCTCAGGGTGGAGGCCGGTGTCCAGGGCGTTTGTAAACGCTTCTGCCTGTGGCTTCCAAAGGCCATCACGCAACATGACCCCTGACGGTTCTGGCCCTGACGGTTACGCACCTGGCGAACTGAGTGGCAAATCTGGGCTGGGATGGAAATGTCTCTTTCCTCGGAAGACCGGACACAGTCACACGGGTCCCAGGGAACACGCGCCACGGACGTTGGGACGTGTCGGCCAGCGGTCCCCTCAGCAGACGAGCACTTCCTAATTGTTTGAAAGTCTTTGCGCGACATTTCTGAGAGCAAACTGCTCTCTGCTAGGAAGTGACAGAGCCGGTCACACCGGCCCTCCACGGCGCCGGCCGTGTCCCTGCAGGGGGTGTTCACACTCGACTGTGGCTCACACTCAAACTCAACTCAAAACACGACTCTCACCCTGGCCGGTGTGGCTCAGCGGTTAGAGCGTCGGCCCGCAGACCAGAGTCGCGGGCTTGGTTCCGGTCAAGGGCACGAACCTCCGTTGCAGTTCGGTCCCTGACCCTGGTCAGGGTCGTGCAAGAGGCAACCTGTGGATGTGTCTCTCTCCTCCCTCCCACTCTATCTGAAGATAAATGGAAAACTATCCTTGAGTGAGGATTGAAAAAACCAAGACACAAAGACCCACAACTCCGGCTCCCGGCTCCCAGCAATGGCAGGGTGACTTTGGGGGGACAGGGGCGCCACATGAGGGGCACCCCCTCTGTCTGCAGGGGGCAGACGGCGCAGTTACAGCCAGAAGAGCCCAGTGCGCGTGCCGGTCAGTCAAGGCCGGGGTCCGACGGAACCGACACTTGAATCGCTTCCTGCCGCCGGGTCCGACCTCGTCTTGCTCGATGAACGTGCGCGTCTGTTCTCTTCCCCTTGGAGTTGACACGTGCAGTTTTCTTCTCTTTCGTCGCAAATCTAAACCCCATTTAAGTGACGTGTGTGTGGGTGGGTCACAGTAGGTTCCGGGCCCTCCGCTGTCTTTGGGAAGACATCCCGCTCACGAGGCTCCGCGCCTCCCTGCTGCATCGGCCGAATCTGCTCCAAGGTCCCAGCGGCCCCTGGCCGGCAGCTCTGACGCAGGCGTCTCGCCCGGCCGGCTGCTCGTTCCCCATGGGGCCCCGGTCCACAGCTCCTCGTGCCCCCAGGGCTCCTCCGCCCGGGCAGCTCGGCTGCGGCCTCCCTCCGGGCGCTGTCCGTGCCAAGCCCACTTCAAGGACTTGTGTTTTTTGTCTCAAGTTGACCCCTCACCGAAGAGCCAGTGTCTGAGGGCAGGGACCCATCTGCATGTCCGTGGAGCCGCCGGCCCTGTGCGTGGTCACGGGAGGACCGTTTGGGCGGAACCATCCCGGTTACCCGCTCGAGGGGCGGGGGTTGCGGTCAGCGGGAGCTGGGCTCTCCGCTTGCCGGTGGCTGACCCGGCAGCAGGCCTGCGGGGACGTGTGAAGGGGGCAGGGTCTTTCTGTCACCGCCCTTTGGAGGTCACCTTGAGGACGTCTCAAGGACACGGAGAATCCCAGCCGGGTGCGGCGACAGCGCCCGGAATCAGAGCTGGTTTCAGCGTCTCGTTGAAGCCACGTCTCCTGGGGGACGCCCTCCTGAGACCCTGGGAGGAAATGGGGGGGAGGGGTGTCTGAAATGGAGGGAGGGGGAGGAGCGGGGCTCCGGACTGAAAGACGCAGAGAAAGTGGAACCGCCCCGGGAGAGAGACGGCACCGGTCCCCGTGCCCTGGCCTCGTGTCCAGCGGCCTGGAGGGCACGGTGGCACCTGCACCCCTCAGTGCTCAGAGCAAACGCGGGGACATCGTCGTCCCCTCGGTCTCCCCGGTGGGCAAAGGGGCTGAGCCAGGACCACGCCCAGCTCCCCTCACTCTGCCCCGGCCTTTCCCACCTCGTCTCACAAAACCCGAGGCTGCGGGCACCTGAGGGGACGCAGAGCCCTCGAGGGAGACCCTCGGAAGCCCCTCGATGTGCAGAGACCGGTCCAGAGGCGCAGCAGGGCGCGGGGACGAGGGGCACGAGAGGTCGGCACCGTGTGCACCCGAGACCAGTCTGCTGCAGGGCCGAGGAGGAGGGGCGGACGGGGGTCCGGGCGGGTCTGATCCGGCTGGGACGCATCTCTTCCACTCGGTTCTCACAGTGGGGCCCACACTAAGTTAGGAGGGTGAGGTTCCTTCCCAGGGGGAGCAGCGTCCCGGCGTCTGAGGTCTGGACCGAGGACGGGGAGCCTGGAGGGCCGGGCCCTTGGTGGAGAGACGGGAAGATGGTGTGCCTGTGGGCCGAGGGTCGGGGCCGCCCCGTGCGCAGCTGGTCAGCCCGGCAGATGAACATCAGGCCCGGCCACGGCGCCGACACGCCGAGCTCCTGGGTTTGTTCCACCGTGAGGTGAGATGATGTGTGTACAGAACTGACACAGAAGGGCTCCGTGTTCCGTGACTCACGGGGAGGAGGTCCCCAGACACGCCGAGATCCTGGGTTTGTTCCACCGCGAGGTGAGATGATGTGTGTACAGAACTGACACAGATCGGCTCCGTGTTCCGTGACTCACGGGGAGGAGGTCCCCAGACACGCCGAGCTCCTGGGTTTGTTCCTCCGCGAGGTGAGATGATGTGTGTACAGAACTGACACAGATCGGCTCCGTGTTCCGTGACTCACGGGGAGGAGGTCCCCAGACACGCCGAGCTCCTGACCCCAGAGACGTGGCCGTCACTCCCTCGTGTGGAGGGGGCGGTGCAGCTGGAGTCAGGCTGAGGCTCTTGAGATGGTCCTGCACTTGCAGGCTGGGCTCTGTCACCACGGGGGGGGGGGCGCCAGGGGCGGTGTGATGAGGTCACGCTGCTGTCACGGGAGACGGGGGGCCCGCACACTGACAGTCTCCAGGACCCAGAAGAGGCAGGGAGACGCGTCTCCCCGGGAGTCCCCGACAGGAGCCGCCTGGCCCACCCAGGACCCCAGCAGGAGACCCCTTCCCAACGCAGACCCGTGTGGAGCAGGTGGGGCAGCGACTTCGGCTTCAGACACCGAGTCGGGGTTCGGGCCGTAGCCAGAGGGGAATCGAGCTGCTTCTGGCCCGTTTCCCAGCCGGGTGAGCAGCCCACCGACCGAGCTCGGGGCGGCCGAGGAGCAGGGAGGGTCCGGCTGCCAGTCGGCTGCCATCCGGCGCCCGCGAGACGGGCCCAGGGCCTCCGTGTCCTCCGTCCTGGCTGCCTGGTCCTGGTCCCGGCTCGAGCACAGACCGGTAAGCTCAGGTTTCGGAAACATTGCAACAAGGTTTCTGTGACATGGATGACGAGTCACCAGGGTTTTCTTTGCTTCATTTTGTCTGGAACGAGGGCGGGAGCCACGGAAACACGGAGCCCCCCTGAATGTCCGGCCCTCCCCTCGTTCCCGCCGCGGTCACGCCAGCCTCATCCGGGAAGTCCCCGGCAAGCGACTGCTTCCAAAGACAGGTCCCCCTCCTCGGAGAGGCTGTCATGTGTTAAAACTCAGAAAAGCTACTAATATGGTTCTTGGTGTTTAATCTAAATTTCACTCAAGCCCATTTGTAGGACCAAGTGGGTCAACTAGACAGGTCTGATGTCAAAAACAGGTTTTCTGCTTTAAAAATTAGAGCAGGTCACACAAACCATCACATGGTCCATCCAGGCTGCACAGACCCGCAAACCACCAGATTCGAGTTACAGAAAAACATGAGTGTTTACATGTATGCATCTAGGGATGCATGTGTGTATAGGTATGTGTAGGTGTGTGTATGTATAGGTGTGTGTGTATGTGTGTGTAGGTGTGTGTACATGGTTATGTGTGTTTTTGACGTACACAGTTTCCTGCTCTGGTCTCAGTCCACCTGACACTGATCAGTGGGATTCCATGTGCTATGTGAAAGTGAGTGTGCACCTCGCGTGTGCACATTGCATGTGCACCTCGCATGTGCGCCTCATATGTGTGCCTTGTGTATGCACCTCGCGTGTGCACCTCATGTGTGCACCTCATGTGTGCACCTTGTGTGCCTTGTGTGTGCACATCATGTGTGCACCTCGCGTGTGTGCCTCGTGTGTGCCTCAGCTTGGGAGGGTAGCGAGAGAAGAGAATTTCCATTCACACGTAGGAAAACGAGAGCAGACCAAGGGAAGGTCTGGTTCTGGTCAAGGTCATACGACCGCAAGGCACCCAGAAGTGGAACACGGGCCTCTGGCAGCTGCCTGGTGACAGGGCGTAAGCGGGTAATGACCGTAACCACAGGCCTAGTAGCTGACACGACTCCTCAGTTCTTTGTGGACATGACAACTGCGTGTCTACGGGGAGAAGACTCTATATCTCCTGGTTTTCAAACTATTTCAAGGACCTGTGTTCCCCAGCACAGAGGAGGGAGAGCACAGCCTCACAGCCACAGCTGGTTTCCCGTGAGTCAGTGGCCGGTCGCAGGCCTGATCTTCCTCAGAACCCAGCAAACGTGCTTCTCCTCTTCCTCAGGACTCGGACACTCAGGAACGTGCTGTGAAAACCCTGTGGACAAGTAGTTCCCGTCCATCGACGGTGTCTAAGGGGTGCAAAGCATTACGCAGTCAGGAGAAGCAAGTATCGGGGTTCCTCCCGGGTGGCCTCTGATCAGACCTCCCCCGGCTGTGCCTCTTACTATGGGACATGTGTGCAGACCAGACCCACTGTGAGGACCAAGGCGGCAACAGTCACCTCTTCATCCTTTATGGTGTAGGTCCTGCCTCTGTGGCAGACACCGGCTGAGCACTGAGGGGGACACACAGAAGCAGAGGAGCCCGGCCGGTGTGGCTCCGTGGGCGGAGCGTCGCCCCTGGACTGAGAGGACCCGGTTCGGTTCCCGGTCAGGGCACGTGCCCAGGCTGTGGGCTCGATCCCCAGTAGGGGGCGTGCAGGAGGCGGCAGATCGATGTTTCTCTCTCACATCGATGTTTCTCTCTCTCTCTCTCTCTCCCTTCGTCTCTCTCTGAAAAAGCAGTAAAACCACATTTGAAAACAGAAAGAAGCAGAGGAGTTAATTCTTGGAGCTCAGGGGCTTCCAGTGAACTGGGGTGGTCAGGGGTCCCAGAAGGAGAGACCTAGGTGGTCCGACAGTGAGGGGCCGCAGTGGAGCCCACGCCCCAGGGCTCGGCTGATGAGACCGACGGGAAGCGTTGATTCGCGTGTGCCCTGGCCATTTCTGTGGCTCTCCCGACCGGGCCGAGCACAGCCCTGCGAGGGGACAGCGCCGCCCCTCCTGGCCGTCCTGTTGAGACTGAGAGACTATGGACACCTCGAATGCAGTGGGGGTGCGGTGTTGAACTCAGGCTGGGAGAAGGCATCGTCGTCCGTGTCCTCCCACACGGCACTTTCTGCATTTCATGTGCACACTCGGAATGCGTCCTCCTTTGGAATTTTAAAAATACCGAACCGGTTTATGAGGGTCACTGGAAATTTTCGACAATTATCTGTAGCTCACAGACGAACCAATCAAGCAAACACAGCGTCAGCGGCTGCCGGGGAGTCGTGCAAACACGTGCGTGTCTGTCCACAGCCGGCGCTGCGGTCAGGTCTACTTACGGGACTTTCTGGTCGTGACGTTGACTGGGGGACTCGAGGGCCCCGTCCCGCCGGTGTTGTAAGCTCTGATGGAGGCAAAGTAGACGGTGTTAGCTCTCAGCCCCGTGATGGTCGTGGTCGTGACATTTCCACGGACTCTGATCTTACCCATCGTGGGCTCCCTGGGGTCATCTGTCCAGTACAAGACCTGGTCGTCAAACAGAGGGGCAGTCACGGTTCCCGGCCACGGCCAGCACGGAGGGGGAGGAGGCAGACAGGAGCCCAGACGGCGGGGGACCTTCTGCGTAACGGGTTATAACGGGGGAACAAAATCTGCTCTTCACGGGGACACATGACACACACAGATTCACAGTGGAAACAGAGGACCTGTGTTTTTCTACGTGGCCAATGTAAACTATTTCATGAGATATGGAAAGGTGACCACCTTGAGCAGAGGGTGTATACTGAGTCAGACCAAAACAAGGGCCATGCCACCGAAGACCTCGGGCGTGAGGTTTTGTCACTGACACTTCCTCCGGCGACCTTCCAAGCACAGCAGGTTGGGAGTGGTGCCCGCGCGCGGCTCTGTCGCAGGTGCACTGACACACACCACCGGAGCGGAGCGTGTCCCTGCCTGCAGCCCCTCACGGGCTGGCTCGGGCTGGGAGCCGAGCACGTGTGTGTAGGAAGCGATACAGAAACTGCTCTAAGGATGTGGACAAAGACCAGGTCAGGAGGGGAGAGAGGAGCCGCCCAGAGAGGCGGGCGAGGACGAACTGCGAGGTGAGCTGTGCTGGGACTGGAGGGGCAGAGACACCTGTCAGATGAGCACAGCGTCGTGTCTGGGCCAGAGGGTTCTTGTGAAAAGAAGGAGACAGAGAGAGAGAGAGAGAGAGAGAGAGAGGACAGCAAGGCGCAATGCACGGAGGTTAGAATGATACTCTTCGACTGCGGGATGGAGTAACCTGTGTTACCCCCTGATCGGTCTCATCTCTTGGTGAAATTGAAGGGCCATCCTTGTACATCCTTGTAAAGGAAGCGATGTGCCTCCTTCTATATAGACTATATTTATAAATGACACATTGAGGAGGGCCTAGGATTTTTCTTCTCCCTTAACTGCCTTTTCCAAGATGAGGTCCTCCCGCCCCCAGCCAGCGGCCAGTGAAATTCTTCTCGGGTTTGAGATCTTGCAGGATCAGATGCCCACCTCGCCCCGAGAAACATGTGGGACTGCGGTTTGAATAATTAGATGAGATCATCTCCGGTCACTTTTTAAATGCTACCCTTTGCTCGTTTACTTGCTTGGAAAGGTGGCGGCCACGGATCCCCCTCCGTGGCTGTGGACACAACTACTGGACACTGGGCAGCAGGCTGGTGGGAACAGGAGCCTGGCGTGTGCCGAGGGACGGTGGCGTCAGGTGACTCACCTCGTAGCCCAGCACACGTCCCGTGTTCCTGTTCCAGGCGATGGCCGTCCACGAAACCTCCATTTCCGAGGCAGAGAAACTCTGGACAGAGGTCCCCCTTGGGGCCAGCCGAGGCTCTGCCGTCCGAGAAAAACACAGCCACGGTTAGGGGAGCAGTCTGCAGAGCACAAACGCCAACCCCCTGCAGTGGCGAGGACCGTCCGGTGCCGGGCGCCACTCACCGTCCTCCCCGGAGTAGACAATGGACACTGTGCTCGGCACCCCTTCCCCTTCGCTGTTGTACACCCCCACTTTGACCTCAAAGGGGGAGAGTGGGGTGATGCTGTCGTTTCTGTACACGAATCGGGACGACTCCACCGCCGGGACCCTCTCCTTGGTCCAGGTGGCCGAGCCCACCGGCCGCAGCAGGACCACGTAGCCGAAGTCGCCCCCGTTCTGCAGTTCCTCTGGAATGGGCTTGGGCAGAAGTGACCGATCACTGAGCGGCCCCGCGGTGAGTTAGACTGTCACCGTGTTCGCGAGCACGCGTACCCCCCGTTGAATGAGGTCGTGCAGAAGCAGCGATGCTTCCGTCTGGGAGGCCACTTAGGAAGATGGTCCCAGTTAAAGACACTCGGATCGGTAAACGAACATTTTAAATAGAAATGGAAAACGAGTTGTAGCCCTGGCTGGTTTGGCTCAGCGGTTAGAGCGTCGGCCTGGGGTCCAGAGAGACCCGGCTTCGGTTCCCGCTAAGGGCACGTACCTCGGTTGCAGTTTGTCCCCAGCCCTGGTTGGTCGTGCGGGTGGCAGCCACTCGGTGTGTCCCTTTCACGTCGATGTTTCTCTCTCTCTCTCCCTCCCACTCTATCTGTGCAAAAAATGGAAAAATGTCCTCAGGCGAGGAGAAAAAAGAAAAGAAAACGAGTTGTATGTGTTTATATTTCTTCCCACGACTATGTGTGAGTCATCATAAAATGATTTAGGGGATCACTAGGTTTTCATAGGTTGAAACATTTTATATTCATACTTTGGTATAAGTCTTAAAACTCGGCACAAAATGACGTGTTGCCTTCCATGGCTAGCTGTGTTCTGCTCTGACACATGCGTGTAAGGTACAGCTAAGATAAGTAGCGTGTGACACCTTTTGCTTTAAGACAAAGAGTAGTATTATCAAACACAAAAGTAGAAAGGCCTCCCAAACTTAAAAACATTTTTTTTTCCCTTTATTGACTTTAGAGAAAAAGGAAGGGAAAGGGGGGAGAGACAGAAACATCGATGGGCTGCCCCCTCCCCGCCCCCCACTGGGGATCAGCCCACACCCTGGGCACGTGCCCTGACGGGGAATCGAACTGGGACCTGTTGGGGCAGGGTCGACGCTCAACCACGGAGCCACCCGGCCGGGCGGCCATCCCAAACGATTACACAGACATTTCCATTTGTAGTGACATCGTGTGCAATTTTCCTGACAAAGAAAACAAAAAAACCTGCTAATTCCCACAAAGGCCAAATTCTCTGCGATTCCCGGAACGTCTAAACTCATTAAAATTCCCAAACAAAACTCGATCCAAGTTCCCCAGCGCGCTCCGGATATTAAACATGGCCATCACAAAACATAAATGAAAATGAATGTACGCCTGAATGGACACAGATATTCGACCTGTGCATCAGAAGGTTGTACTTTTTTTTTTTTAATCCCTGAAACTTATGTAGTTTTCCCAAAGGAAAACGCCTTCCTTGTTCTTCTGAAAATGTTCATCGACTGATTAGGCAGCCGGCGGGGGCCTCGGGCCTGCGTCTCTCGCCCACAACTCCCTGCGGGAGGTTTTCCTGCGCGGTCAGGGGATCAGGACGAGAAGGGGCCGCGACTCCCTCCCCGGCCGTGGGCACCAGGACCGGACGCCGTCCAGGTCAGATCTGTGCGACACTGTGCTGCCGAACCCTCGTGTTCTGGGGTGACGGACACCCACGCAATTCCTCGCCCCGCAGGGTTTGGTCTGAGCCCAGGTGGGCGGCGACCCTAGAACGCACGCAGACTGCGCGCAGGGCGGACACCGTGGTGTTGACAGAGGGAAAGCTACGCGCCTCGCGGAGGGGGGACTGGGCCACGTAGAAACGTGGAGGTGACGGAAACAAGAACCAAGGCCGGGGGGGCCGCCGAGCTCAGGGCAGGGACGGAGTGTCTGGGTCTCCCTCTGACCGGCCTGCTTGGTCACCGAGACTTCCCTGACCCTCAGTACCCCCGTGTGGCTTTCACATTTATCCCCAAGAGCGGAGATGACCCATTTCTCGCAGCCGCACCGTCGGACCACGGCAGACGGTGGACAGAGGAAGAAAGAGCCAGGTCTGACGTCGGGGGAGAAAAAGGTCCCTGGACTCACACGTCTGGTCACAAACAGACCAGCACTGAGGCGGGCGATTCTGGAGACAGGGAAGAGGCGTGTGGGACGTCAGTCCGAGCATCTGCTTGACATCTGGTGTCTGAGGCGTCTCTGACCTCAGAGTTCACGCGGACGCCGGGCCCTCCGGCACCGCGGGGACCTCTCTGGGTCGGTCAGAAGAAAGCAGGGTTCCTGAAGGGGTTCCCTCAGAAAGGCCCCAGGTTTACTTAGGGGGCAGGAAAGGGACTTTGTCCTCCTCACATGGGCAGAGAGCCGATGAGGGAGAAACGAACAGCCGTGTCCTCCTTTAGACGGAGGACGTGACCAGTAGAACAACGTCAGAACGTGTCTGGCAGCGGGATCTGTTCAAGTCGCTAATGACTAACAGTTAAATCTCTACCACAGCGTGAGACCTAAGCTTGCAGCAGAGACCAGGAGTCCGCAAACTGTGGCCTGCAAACCAAGTCTGGCCCCACGGCCTCGTCTGGAGAACAAAGGACTTGGGGACACAGCCGGGCCGTCTGCTTGGACACCGTGAGCCACTGCTTTCGGGGGGGCCGAGGCCCGAGGCCCTGGTCCCGGGTGGGACGCCCCGGGCAGGTGGGCACCCTGCTCCGGAGGACTTGACCTAGGTGCCTGCGTCTATCGCCCTGTTTGATGTGAGACCTTCCCACCTGCACCTCCCACGTGCGGTACTCGAGAGCATAAATGGACAAGACACCGACAGAGACGTCGTGGACAAAGGGCCCAGAAGTGGGGGAGCCTAGGTTACTGGAAGCAAAATACACAGTGTTTGGCACTGGAGGGAACTGCACCCCTCTGCCTTTGTGGGGTGTGTAGGGGCGACGGGAGTGACTAGATGACCTCGCCCTGTCCGGAACCGTGACATGGCTCGGGGACACCTGGAATTCTGACTCAGGACCCGTGACGAGCAGGTGGGGACCACCGACACGGATCTCCAAGCTCGGGTTTCTGTCTGAAAGGGGTGTCACCAACCCCTGGTCTTGCTGTGGGGGCGGAAGCGGACCGCCCAGCGCAGCCCCCAAAGCCACGAAGGTGGTGCACAAGGACCACCTCTCCGTGGGCCTCTGGGACCCCATCTGCCCGTGCAGGTCCACCCCCAAAACAAACACCACCGCCTGGGAAATAGCAGTCACACATGCTCCGGCGATCAGACGTGCCCTGTCTCCCTCGCGACCCCAGCCCGACGGCCCGGAGTCGCTAGGGTCCGTGCTGGACGGGACGGGAGGCTGAGCCAACCAGCACAGGTAGGGTTCCGAGCGTGTGCCCGTCACCGTGAGACGCTCAGGCTGAGGGCCCGAGTGGCCGCCGATGGGAACCCAGCCTCGCTGAACGTCCCCGTGCAGGCTGGGAGCCAGGCGGGGTTTTCAGCCAGTACAGAGGGAGCCTGCATGTTAATGCTCAAGAATAATGACGGTAAAAGCTACCGGGTCTGCCAAGCTTTCATCTGGATGGAGGGGAACAGGCTGGAAGGGTTCCGAGAGCAAGGGCAGGACAACAGCATCGTTTGCTGCACTCTCGGGGTGTGACGCACGGACGGGTGGTTCCCCGGGCCAGGAGAAAACCACGTGCCGGTCATCAAAGGACGATGAAGACGCTGCCACCCCCTCCATGTCACCCCCCCATGCCCCCCTCCATGCCCCCCTCCATGCCCCCCTCCATGCCCATCCCTCCATGCCCCCCTCCATGCCCCCCCTCCATGCCCATCCCTCCCATGCCCCCCTCCATGCCCCCTCCATGCCCACCCCCTCCATGCCCCCTCCATGCCCCCTCCATGCCCATCCCTCCCATGCCCCCTCCATGCCCCCTCCATGCCCATCCCTCCCATGGCCCCCAAAGTTGTTTTCCACATATTTGGACGAGGCCTGCGCTCCCTTAGTCGTCCTTTCTCACTTCAGTAGAAACGAGAAAGGCGCCCAGCCCCCCACCGCGCAGGGCTCCCTCAGCCTCCCGTGCCCTGTATTTCTGTACCCCCCTTGTTTTCCATATTCTTCCTGGCCAGCGGATCTTTTTCCTTCAGAATAACTCAGTTGTTCAGAAAGTTACCTCCCACGTCACAACGAGTTCCGACCGGCTTCCTCCTCCTCCCTGGATGTTGGTCGGCACCACGGTGGGGGCTGAAAGCAACCAGAGGGAAGGCGGCCCGGTCATGAGCGCGTCTCCGCCCTGGGGTTCGGGTGTGGGTGTCGCCTCCAGGGAGCGCTGCTCCTGAACACGGAGGGGCGCACCCACACCCCGGTTCCTCACACAGAGGACGGCCTGCGTTTGACGCAGGAGCACCCCGGCTCCGAAATTAATTAAAAGTCGAGTAGCATCATGTATCTGACATTATTATGCATCATCGGCTAATTGGCAGAACGGTCTCCCCTCGGAGGGCGACAGCAACACCGTGATTCAGGCCTGATTGTGCACAGCTGGGCTGCAAGCACACTTCTGAGCCAGCCGTTAATTAATTCCCCGTCGTGTCAATAAACAGCCGAAAATGGTTTTTCTCTTTGGCCGTCCTCAGGATGTGTGAACATCGAAAAATGCATTCTTAAGTGACATAGCATTGGGTGAGTTCCTGTCTTGTAACCCGTGCTTGAGCCACAGGTCTCAGCTCAGAGTGGACGGGCAGACGGACGGACGTTTTCGCGCCCCCGGCGTGACCGAGCGGCGTCTCTGCCTCTCCCCGGCCCTCTAAGGCTCCGCGGCAGAGCATCCCGACTTGGGTCGCTTTTATGAGTCGGAAAAGCACACGCCCGTCCACCACGTCCTCGTGAGACCTGCTGTAGTGGACGGTCAGTGGGTGAGGTAAGGTGATAACACTGGTGACGACGGGGCGTCGATGTGAGTGTCCAGTGCGTAATCAGCACGGAGTTTCACTTCATGTAGAAATGTTAAAAATCCTCTTGTTCTTGAAATGATGGCAAAAGGACCCCAAATCTGCGGATAAGCTTGGACATGCCGAATTCTGTGCAGTGTCCTCTGAGCAGTACCCAGAGGTGGGGATGCCCGAGGTGCAAAGTAACACACCTGAGGTCTAGGTGCTCACTGCGAAGTGTCCTTCCACCGTGGAGACCACGGGGATACGTCTGGCTACTTCTTTTATTTATTCCCATTTCATACGGATGTTTAGCTCATTAACGACAGTTATGTAAGAATCTGATTTTTCTTTTTAATAATAGCCTGAGTCAGGTATTATCCGTTTTCGTATTCGCGTTTACCCTGACTTCGCCTGCTTTGATCGTCAGTTTATTTGACGATTCCCTCCGGACCTCGGCCTCCACCCTACTCCCGTCTCCCTACGTGGGTGGCCAAAAGCAGCGGGAGTCGGTGGGCTCTGCCCTTCAGGGTTCTGGTCCCCAACAGCCCACAGGGACACCAGCTCAGGCCGCTGACTCGTCTACGCCTGTGTGGAAACTACCGAAGCGTATGCTTTGCCTCACTCTTTACAAATTGTCCAGTGTTCTGGGGAGTCAGGGTCCTTCCTTCATTTGGTTTCCCCGCGAACCACGCTCACCCTCAAAGCACAGTGAGGCTGCCTTTGGTGACACAGAACAGGAACCCACACAGGTCCCTGGGATCGGGACCCTCGGGAATCCTTACGGACCCGAACCCCCGTCTGCGGCTCAACACGTGTCCGTGGCTGACAGGAGGTGGCACACAGGTGCCCCCGTGAGAACCGGGAGTCCGCCCTGCCGGAAGCCACCTCGGTGTCGATCGGCCGGAAACGGCTTGACTGCAGCTGATACCTACGCGAGCCGCAGTCGCCCAATGGGCCAGGCCCGGGAGCTCGGGGACCACACACGTCCTCCCGGCCTCTCTCCTGCCCCAGGTGCAGCCCAGCTGCCTGGGTCCAAACCCCGAGGGCCTGGCACAGCCGGCCGCCGTAGGGTCTGAGTTCCCTCCTCCATCAGGGGACGTCTCCGCTCGGAACCTCGCTGTCCTCTGTGACGTTCGGCCCCCGCTCACAGGGAAAATGCTGGTGTTGCCTTTAGTTTACACGGTGCGTTTGGTACCTAACAGGGACTCGGGGCTGAGGTCGTGCGTGTGTCCAAGAAGCAACGGCGTAGTGACCCCGTCACGGGAGGGGAGGAGAAGCTGAGCTCTGTGAGCTACATGCAGCGAGTGGACCAAATGTGCCGGGACGTGGGGGACTGAGTGGGACGAAGGGGATCCACAGGGAGCGTAAGGGGGTGTCGCTGTGGTGTGGACATTGGTGACCCCGCGGTGCTCTCTCCTGCTCTGTCCAGTGCGTGTGGGGCTCCCCGTCGGTGGGCAGAGCTGACACTACGGCTCAGGGAAGCTGCAGCTCGGCCGCAGCTGGGCTACGGTTGGAAATGTCCGGCTGTCGCACCAACAGTCTGGACTAGCTCCCGCCACCACGCTCGCGGAACTAGCGGGAAGCCACCCCCTGCAGATCCCCGGATCCTCTACTGGTGGTGAAGGAGGGGAGATGGGAGGCCGGCTTCTGCAAGGCCTCCTCTCACACATGTGCGTCCCCGCGACCACCCCACCGAGCACGCCGTCCGGAGGGCAGGCCGCGGGCTCTGCACACCCCTTCGCGACCGCGAGGCCGGTCAGGGTCCCTGGCGGGGACACAGGCACCCTGCAGGGCGTTCCCAGCGGCAGCCACGCCCTGCGCCCACCCCGCTGCGGAGGAGCCCCACCTCCTACCTGATGCTTTGGTTCGGAACAGCTCGGAGGGTTTGCTCGGCTCCCCAATCCCTATGCTGTTGCCCGCAACCACGCGGAGCTCGTGCTCCACCCAGGGGCTCAGCCCCACCGCCGTGGCTTCCGACGTCTGGCCGCCGAGGACTTCTGGGACTGAAGAGAAGGGCACCGGTGAGCACGCCCAGCAGACGGACGGAGCGCTGGCTGTCCCAGTCGCCAAGCCCGCACCTACCGGTGGACACGGCCTGCCAGCCCACGGAGAAGGGGGTGCGGGCCTGGACGGTGAAGATCTGGATCGGGCTGTTGTTGTCCGGGCCCGGCCGCCAGCGCACCTGCGAGGTCGTGGCGGAGATGTGCTCCACGCGGACGTCCTCGGGGGGGCCGGGGGGGCCTGGGGGAGTACAGTTTGGGGTGACTATTGGAAATTCTTACCGTCATCAGTCTGGGGCAGGGATCTTTTTTTTTTCTGTTATGCTTAGAAAATAAAATATTGGACATAATATATCTTAGCACATGGCTGGTGATTAAGCCTTATTAACGCAGCTCCCATGCTGAGAGATTAGCTGAGAATCGCTTCCTTTGAGGATTAGGAAGTGCCGGCCACGGACGGGCTGTCCTTCGATAAGACGCGAACCTCAGGTAGGAGGGCCACTCTGGTCCGCTGCCCCCAAAGCTGACTCGTGCGAGCGCAGCTGGCCTGGGGAGGGCGGGAAGGCGGCTGGACCGTCTCCGCGAGAAGGTGCGAGGTGACCGGGCCCGGGTTCGGGGCCGGCAGCACCTCCCGATCGACCACGCCTTAGACAGACACAACCTGCCCGGTCACTGTCCACACCCTCACCGCCCAGACGCTGGGTCTTGGAATTCAGAAAATCATATATATATATATTTCCTATTTATCTTCCTTCTTAAAAAAAAAAAGTTTTCATTGATTTTTTTTAGAGAGAAACATCCATGTGGAAAGAAGCATCGACCAGCTGCCTCCTGCACGCCCCCTACTGGGGATGGAGCCCAAACCCCAGGCCTGTGCCCTGACCGGGAATCGAACCGGGACCTCTCAGTCCGCGGGACGGCGCTCCGTCCACTGAGCCACACTGGCCGGGCCTTCTCACTTCTTTATCGTGATGTTACTCGAAGACCCGCCACTTCCCGTGAACACTTCTGGCCGCTCGTCCTGTCTGCCCGGAGGCTCACCTCTGACAATGACGTCAGCTTCAGCCGACAAGCTCTCCAGGGGTGTCCTCACTGTGCACACATACTTCCCCGAATGACTCAGCTGGATGTTCCTTATCATCAAGTCCCCGACGGATCCCTGCGGGCAGAACAGAGGGGGCGACAGCGTGAGCACCCCTGGCAGCCCCAGGATCCCGCCGTGGGACGAGCGTCAGAGAGGGCGGCTGTGACGCCCGGGTACATGCCCTTCAGCGTGCGTGGTCCCCTTTATCACCCCCTTCCTCCTCATCGTCCCAGAACCTGAGCATTTCCACGACAGACGCCCAACACCATCAGAGAGACACGGGTGCGGGGTCAGAACCAGACAGCGGTTGTCCCGCGAGTGCACGCCGGGAGGGGGCTGACGGAAGGCGTGGATGCGTGAAAAGACTCGGTTCAATCGGGCAAACACTTCACATTTTCAGCAACTCACCCCTCCAATCCTCTCAAAATGGGCCGAGCCCCTTTTCAAGTCGACGGCGCGTCCGTCGAAAGACCACGCAAACTCGACGTCCATGGAGGGGTCGTGGGCCACCTGGCAGGACAGGACCACGCTCTCGCCCACCGTGAGGTCCAGGGGCGCCGGCGGGACAGTGAGGACAGTACGCTCTGTGGGAGGAAGGTCGTGACTGTCGCGCTCGTCCAGGACGAGGCTCTGAGAGGCGGCTGCTGGAGGGGCACCCCGGGCTCGGAGTCCGGCCACACTCGGATGAGCACCTCCCCGCCCCGGGTCCGTGTGTCCACGCTCAGCGTTTAGCTCATTACGGGAAATAAGACCAGATACACAGTGTGACTCATACTTTATAGGACAATCAATAGTTTATTAAAGACAACAACTGTGGACTCAAAACACAGCATTCCGTACACGGAGGACACGCCACATCATGACCCCGAAATTCCAGCCACGGCTTTGCGGTCCACACAGCGCCACGGCCCTCAGGAGCGGATGGTGACGGCCTGCGCATGGACACACTGTCCCTGAGGTCTCGCGGTAGTCAGAGAGAGTCGTGTCGTCATCCGTGTGCAGGACGCGTGTGAGCCCAGCACGCCCTGCTTCTGACGCAGGTGCGTTTTTGTGAACGACGCAACGTGACAAGGCTTCCCTTTCTATGCAGGTTTTGCATGTTGGAATCACACATCTATCATAAAACAGACTTCCCTCCAGCAGTATCAGCCGCGACGCCCACCTGTTCATAGGTGCTCACGCTGCACGGACCCCGGGTTCAGAGGGACGTCCGAGGGCTGGGCTCCGAGGCCTGTCATCCCTCTGATTGGAGACTTGAACGGACGGGTCCTCGGACTGGGAGGGTCCTCGGCACAGCCACCGGCTCCAGCCAGGATCACGGGGCACACGGACCAGGCCGCTCGCAGAGAGCCTGACGCGCCTGATGCCTTCTGAGGGGGAGCGAGGCCCGTGCGGGGTCCGTGGGTCAGCTCTCTGCTCCCATCCGGCTTCTCAGAAGCTCTAACACCAGGGGGTTGTCTGTCAGCCACTGGGCGTGCTCCGGGGAGCAGAGGGAGGTACACACACCTCGTCCCCCCACCCGGGAGAGCACACGCCAGGCTGCAGTAACGCGGGCTCCTCGTGTGCCCCAACCCTCCCTGCTCTGTACGGAGGCGCGACCCCGGGACCGCCTGAGACCCACGCGTCACGGAGGAGCGTGGACGGTGCTGGACTCTGTCGTTAGTAAAAGTGAAATTCTCTAAGCCGCGTTCACTTGAAAAAGCAAAACAACACGAAACAAAAACATAGAGAGAAATAGGTTTATTTTTATTTGGTATAATTTTATCCTCCTTGCACATCTCCTCAATATTTGTCAAAAATTCTAGTCCACTAGTTAAAAATCGGTGGTGTGCGTGTGAATTTTCTGGGGAATGAGTTCAAGATGTGACTCCCTGCCTCCCCCCCCCCAGAAGGACTGTTTCGGTGGGTCTCCGAGCCCACGGGACCTGGGACGTGGGTTCTCACCCTCTGCCTCCACCGACCTCGATGTCCTCGGTCCCGGACCACGCTTGGAGAGAGGCTGCCTCGCGCCTTCAGTCTGAACCGAAATTCCTGGTGAAGGAAAACCCGAACTACGTTCGCTACGGCCTCAGAGTCTCCGCTGCTTTGTGCCCACGGTAAAGTCACGGCGGGGAGCGTTACTGGTCAGCGACGTGTCGGGGAGATAAACAAGCTTCCGCTGACTGACGTGACTGCTCCATGTGCCGCATCGGCGTCTCGGATTTCTCAGTACATCTGATCATGTTAAAAACTCTCATTCCCGAGTCTAGAGCAACTACTTAAAAGTTACTTAATCTTAGGTTTTCTACATCTACTAGATTGGGGAACATTTTTGGTCCATCTTGGGAAACCAGGGATTCTGAGAAGCGATGCTTGGGAACAGCGCTGCCGCGGGGGAGAAGCTGCCACGGGGGAGAAGCTGCTGCGGGGGAGAAGCTGCCGCGGGGGAGAAGCTGCCGCGGGGGAGAAGCTGCCGCGGGGGAGAAGCTGCCGTGGGGGAGAAGCTGCCGCGGGGGAGAAGCTGGTACACGCACTTGAACATTCGTGGGGGTGTCTGCGTCAATGTTCCGTCTACACACGCGTGTGCATATTTATGAGACCACCACCTGCATATAATTTAGGAATGGGGTTTCACTTTTAAAATAAAGAAAGCTGGTTTTGTTGTTTTGTTAAAAATATTTCCTTACCTTTTAAAGAGATGGTCTGAAATTTATGAATGAAACTCTATGATGTGGGGGATCTGCCTCTGCCTATTTGGGGTGTGTCTTGGGGACACGAGTGGGCGATGATCCGCCCTTTTGATGAGCATGTGGACCTTCCTCATACTGCTCTCTCTGCTTTTCTGTGTGAAGAGAGGGGCCCCTTTCCCGCTCAGCGTCTATCGAAAGTGATGGGGCCTGATCACTTTTTTGTTTTTTTATCCTCACTCGAGGACATTTTTTGTTATTTGTTCAGATAGAGTGGGAGGGAGAAAGAGAGAAACATCGACATGAAAGGGACACATCGAGTGGCTGCCACCTGCACAACCAACCAGGGCCGGGGACAAACTGCAACCGAGGTACGTGCCCTTAGCGGGAACCGAACCCGGGTCTCTCTGGACCGCAGGCCGATGCTCTAACCGCTGAGCAAAACCGACCAGTGCAGGACTGATCACTTTTAGACGATTATCCTCAATACGAATGACAACAGTCATGAAGAATTCACAAAGTTATGGAATCGTAATATTTACCATTTTTAATCAATTTCAGGGAGATAAAAATCCTATGAAAATGACTTGCTTTACTGTGCTATTCTTAAGAAGTATAAAAAAAGGTTTAGGCCCTCCCTGGCCGGTTTGGCTCAGCGGTTAGAGCGTCGGCCTGCGGTCTGGAGAGACCCGGGTTCGGTTCCCGCTAAGGGCACGTACTTCGGTTGCAGTTTGTCCCCGGCCCTGGTTGGTCGTGCGGATGGCGGCCACTCGATGTGCCCCTTTCACATCGATGTTTCTCTCTCTCTCTCTCTTCCTCTCTCTCCCTCCCACTCTATCTGTACAAAAAATGGAAAAATGTCCTCGGGTGAGGATTAAAAAAAAAAAAGGTTTAGGCCCTGGCCGGTTTTGCTCAGTGGTTAGAGCGTCGGCCTGTGGTCCTGAGAGACCTGGGTTCGGTTCCCGCTAAGGGCATGTACCTCGGTTGCAGTTTGTCCCCGGCCCTGGTTGGTTGTGCAGGTGGCAGCCACTCGATGTGTCTCTTTCACATCAATGTTTCTCTCTCTCTCTCTGTTCCTCTCTCTCCCTCCCACTCTACCTGAACAAAAAAATGGAAAAATGTCCTCGGGTGAGGATAAAAAAATAAATAAATAAAAAATAAAAAAAGGTTTAGCCCTGGCCAATTTGGCTCAGCGGTTAGTGTCGGCCCATGGTCCAGAGAGACTGGGGTTCGGTTCCCGCTAAGGGCACGAACCTGGGTTGCAGTTTGTCCCCGGCCCTGGTTGGGTCCTGTGGGTGTCAACCACTTGATGTGTCTCTCTCACGTCGATGTTTAAAAAAAAAAAAAAAGGTTTAATAAAATGTACACCGCTTTCAATAAATAGCTTCACTCAGACCCGCACAGTTAATCGAGGATGACGTGTCCAGACACATCTTCAGCTCTGAGCGCCTCAGGAGACACGAACACTAATTATTTCAAAACTTCTGTCAGGATTGTTTAGCGTGGTTTCTTTAAACACAGCTGGGACGTGTCCCCGTATTAAGGTCTGGTCACGCTTTCACACACCTTTCCCACCTTTCGGGACCAGGGCCGCCGACCCGTGAGCCCTCGGTCTCCCTGGCCACCCAGGAGAGTCTATTTTCCGTTGCTTCTTGGGCATCTTCACGCACATGGAAACGCCATCTGTGAGGGACAGTCGTTTGGGGTCAGTGCTCAGAGTAATTACCGCTCAGGGGGCTCTGAAGTTATCGGCTCCCTCGAAAGGCGGAGGGGTGCAGAAGCAAAGCCCAGACCCTCCTCCCTCCGTCCAGGCCTGTGGTCCCCCCCCTTGTCCCTGACAGTCTAGGAAATGTTGCTAAGATACCGCCCTACGGGAAACGCCTGTGTAAATAGCACTTCAAACAGGTGACAACACTCCCTGATATTTTCTCTCGCCAGCGAACGTGTGCAGACTAGAAATAAATCCCTTTAGAACCCGGCCCTGTCCCTAATTCCTCAGATCTCAAATCATCCTGCTTGTTAACACCTAGCCCTCTGCTTCTTCATCCGCTAGAGGCTTCTCTCCGGGATCCTATTCCTTTTCAACGCATAAACGCCATTAGCCCTTTTAGTGCATATTTGAAAGTGACGGTTGTCGCAGGTTTTGTCTGTGGAAAAGCACCTGCGATTTGTCTTCACAAGGGAGGCTTTGGCTGGGAATAGGATTCTCACCGGTATTACGTTTCAGTCCTTTGAAAGGGCCACTCCACTGTCTTCTGGGTTTTCCTTCCTGCCGGCTACTGTCTCAGCTCCCAGATGTCTGAGGATACTGTATCTGTCGTAACAGGATGGACACTGTATCTGTCGTAACAGGATGGGTACTGTATCTGTCGTAACAGGATGGGTACTGTATCTGTCGTAACAGGATGGGTACTGTATCTGTCGTAACAGGATGGGTACTGTATCTGTCGTAACAGGATGGGTACTGTATCTGTCGTAACAGGATGGGTACTGTATCTGTCGTAACAGGATGGACACTGTATCTGTCGTAACAGGATGGATACTGTATCTGTCGTAACAGGATGGGTACTGTATCTGTCGTAACAGGATGGATACTGTATCTGTCGTAACAGGATGGGCACTGTATCTGTCGTAACAGGATGGGCACTGTATCTGTCGTAACAGGATGGGTACTGTATCTGTCGTAACAGGATGGGTACTGTATCTGTCGTAACAGGATGGACACTGTATCTGTCGTAACAGGATGGACACTGTATCTGTCGTAACAGGATGGGTACTGTATCTGTCGTAACAGGATGGGTACTGTATCTGTCGTAACAGGATGGACACTGTATCTGTCGTAACAGGATGGATACTGTATCTGTCGTAACAGGATGGATACTGTATCTGTCGTAACAGGATGGATACTGTATCTGTCG